TGATGATGATGATGATGATGATGATGATGATGATGATGATGATGATGATGATGATGCTGATGATGATAGCGATGTAGTGATGTTCTTCAATCCACTGCTCCCTGTGATTGGAAAACCAATCTCTTCGCCCTCCGACCGCCCCCCCACCGCCAGATCGCTGTTGTTCGTCTCGGCGGTCAGGAAGTTCCAGCCACGCCATCTGGTCCAGCTGAGGCTGGTGTCGGTGTGACAAAACACTTTGACTCACAACTGGGCTCCAAAACAGACATAGAAGAGTCGGTGTGCGCCTTCGTGCTCCACCAATTTCTAGACATGCGCCTTCTGCAGAACCACTATGACATACTATGGCTGTAACTTTGAATGGGAAGGGATGGCCCCTGGATGGAAACCCGGTCCTTTGCTCCAACAGACAAACATATTTAGAGTTCAAAGGGCGTGCCACAACCGAATCCAGGAGATGTTCGATTGTCTGAAGACGCCAAAGCAATACACAGGACGCGACATCTTTTAGACAAGAGTCATCAGCCCAGCCAATGAGTAAGTAAAGATAGTAAAGTGGATGCCTTTTTGTGCCCCATTCTAGTGAGGTCTTAGTAATCTTCATAGCAATCACCGAGGTCACATACCCCGCTTACCGCTGACGTAGGAGCGTCACGGAGCCAAAACGAAGACCCACCGCAATCACCAGGTACAAAGACTAGCATAGCTAGCAACTGCTCTTCAGCTTGGGCACTCAACCGCAGGCGTGGAGCCTCAAGCCACATCGATTACTTCCACGTGGCCAAAAGGATTTAAGACATTTAGATCGATGACCTCAAGGTCACAAAAGCAAGACCCATGCAGCGCATGCAACACATGCAGCGCATGCCCATGACTCCAAAACGATTAAAAGCAAGGCACCCAAATCGAGGGATGTGAACTGGAAGTATGGCCGAAGGTGACTAGGGCCACACAGTCAACCAGACGGAGTCCGACCTGGACACCGGACACTCTGGCAGATGTGGCGTTACACACTGTGCAGATGTTACACATCTCTGGCGGGCGGCGCACAAACCGTCCAACCGCCTCTGCCGCTCGGTGAGTCCCATGGCGGGTCGAACGCTCAACGGTTGGGTTCAGCCACAGTGACGTGACGAGAGTCTTTGACCGCATCATTCCTTTACAGTTTGTTGTCCCACGCTGCTACATCCTATTTGTGGGATCATCTCAAAACGATTGGTTTAATACATCAGCGCTGGCTGTTCAACATCAGCCGGATGAACTGTACGTTCAACCAAGGGATCTTTGGCTTTTCAGGGGTGCCTAGCGTTGGGGACTGTCTTTGGCATTTCCATGCCTTTGAAGGGTTTCAAAGGGTTTTATTGGGATATAGTTGCCAGATGTTTCCAAGTTTCTCGCCCTTTCTCCACAAATGATGATTTTCCGCTCCGGTCAACGCGCAACCCCCCCCCCTACGCGGCCCGCCTCTCTTCACCACGTTCCTGCGAAGTACAGGAGAAATCGATCCGGATGTTGTACAGGTGGGATGGACTGGGAGGCCTTTGCAATAGACAACTCTTTGGGTGGAACTGGTGGCAAGAGCAACACCTCAACTCATTGGCCTCCATTGATTCGCGAAGTGAATGGTCACCCCGAAGCGTTGGGAATGACAGACGAACTTACACATCGGTCTTCCAATTCTGAGCCCTCAAACTCGTGCTGCCGTGCCAATACGTTCGGAACTATATACCTGCACGGTACGCACGATCAAATCAAAGATTTGTAGCCAGCTGCTAACTGTTCTTGACTAGATCGCAAAATGCAGTCCCCAAATAGTTCGTTGTTGCCTGTAAAAACTGCAGCACGGGGAAAACCAGATGACAAAACAAGATGCACGAACCCGAATGCAAACACGCACTCAACAACAAACGGCCAAACATTGTTTGACACTCTTGTGGGACACTCTTGTAAGACACTCTTGTATGCGGTGCTCTTATTGGACACTCTTGTAAAGCACTCTTGTGTGACACCCTCGTGTGACACTCTTGTGGGACGCTCTTGTAGGCCATTCTTGCGGGACACTTTTGTAACACACTCTTGTGTGACACTCTCGCACGACACTCTTGTCATGGAACACTCTGGTGAGGTGCTCTTGTGGGACACTCTCGTGGGACACTCTATTAGAGCACTTTTGTCGGCCTCTTTTGTGGGACAGTGGAACTCTTGTGGGGCACTTTTGTAGGACATTCTTGCGGGACACTCTACTCTTCTGTCGTATGACAATGAGACACTGTGTCACTCTTGTAGAACACTTTTGAGGCAGATTCTTGTAGGACACTCTTGTTCAAAACTTTCGTGCACTCTCTCTTGTGGAAAACTCTTTTGGGCTACTCTCATGCGACACTCTTGTGGCTTGTCACAGACTAGACCAAGGTAACACCAAGCCTCGCGGACACCATCAAAAATCCCGCTCCCCAGCGACACGCCGAATTTACACCAGACTCAGAACGGCTTCCTTCCCCCAAGAGCACGGACTCACGCAAACGCACTTTCCATCGCAGCCGCACAAAGCCGCATGGCACAGCAACATCACAGTGCACCACAGACTAGATACAACCATGTATCACCAAGCGTCGTGGACACCGCCAATCATCCTGCTCCCTAGCGACGCGCCGAATTTACACCAGCACGCTTTGCTTCCCCCAATGGCACGGACTCATGCAAACGCACTTTCCACCGAGGCCACGCAAAACTGGATAGCACAGCGACATCACAGACGTAATTTGGCCACACAGTGTGCCACAGACTATAGGTACAACAATGCAGCACCAAGCATCGTGGACACCTCCAATCACGCCGAATTTACACCAGCACGCTTTCCTTGGCACGGACTGACGCAAACGGACTTAACAGCATGACACAGCGACATCACAAACGTAACTCCACACTACACTTGCATTACAATAAAAGGCCGCAGCTCCCAGAAGCTCCTCACCGTAGGACATTTGCACGACAAAGTTGCCAGTTCTCAGGCCACAGCTTCCAGAAGGTGCTTCCCGTAGTACTACAAAGTGGCCAGTTCTGACGCCACAACTCCCAAGCTGCTTCCCGTACCACTTTTGTACTGCCAAGTGGCCAGCTGTGAGGCCAGCTGCTTCCGCACTACATGTGTACTACAGAGTGGCCAGTTCTGCTACCCGCACTACTTTTTGTACTGCTGCCAACTGGCCAGTTCGGAGGCCACAGCTCCCAGAAGCCTGCTTTCCCGTCCTACATTTGTACTTACAAACCTGCCAGTTCTCAGTCCCAGCTCGCAGAAGCTGCTTCCCGCATTACGTCCGTACTACCATGTGGCCAGTTCTGAGGCCACATCTCCCACAAGCCGTTTCCCGTACAGCCACAGCTGCTTTGTACTACCAAGTGGCATCCCTCACAATACACTCCTACTACCAACAGGCCAGTTCCGATGTCACGTACGGCAATCTGGTGGGACACTCCTGTCCGACACTCTTGTAGGCATACTCACCGACGACACTCTAGCGCAACACTCTTGTGACACTTGTGCAACACTCTCGTCGGGCACCCTTGTGGGACACTCTTGTCGGCCACTCTTGTGGGGCACTACACTCTAGTGGGTACGGCACTCTGGTGGTGGGACACTCCCTTGTAGGACACTCGTGGGACACTCTGGTTGGCCACTCTTGCGGGACACTCTTGCGGAAACCTCTTGTGGGATGTGGGACAGGGACACTCTTGTGGGACACTCTTGTGGGACACTCTTGTAGGACACTCTTGTGGGACACTCTTGTTGTGGGACGCTCTTGTGGGACAATCTTGTGGGACACTCTTGTAGGACACTCTTGTGGGACACTCTTGCGGGGCACTCTTGTGGGACGCTCTTGTGGCACTCGCGCACGACACCCCACCCACGTGAGACACTCTTGCAGGACACTCTCGTGGGACACTCTCGGTCTCACACCCTCGGGGGACACTCTTGCTTCCTCCAAAGTCACGTGTTAAGTGACATCTTCATGTCTTCAGCAAAAGTTGCACCACACCACACGTTTGGAATGATTTCGACACGTTTTGAGCAATTTTAGCTGAGACTTGCCACGAAAACACACGCAGCTTCGAAGCAACAGTCTGACACGTCATGCTTCCATCCAAAACCCTTCCATAGCGCCCTACCGCGAAAGGTTGCGGTTGCTACGACAACAAGTCGCGAGTCGCGCTACTGCCAGACCCGCAAAGTTAAACGAGAAATGGTCGCTACGCATTCGGGAAAACATTCTCCTGCAGATTTTCCACGCGCGTCACTTGCGCCCGCGCCAAGCCGTTCGTCAAATCCAGCAAGTACCTCAGCCGCGCAGGTGTTGCAGAGCTGAAGATTTTGATCAAAGGCCCACATGAGATTGAGACGCGATCGATATAGTGGCATGGGTCAACCAACTCGGTAGCTGAGTAAACCTCTCACAAACGCCATGTCCATGCCGAGGGGCTTGCTCGGGATATACACACTTTTTTCTTTCGGAGTGGCTGAGGGCGTTTGTCTGAAGCAGGCCTGAAAGCATTAGCCACAAATTAGGCAATTGGTTCGCCGCCTCCTTCTCTGGCATATACACACACACACCAAAAAAGGATATCCGCCAGGTCCCTTTTTGAAACTGTTTAGTTGCACAAGCGCTTGAAGTTCGCTCGGTAAACTTGAACTCCATGGCTGTTTCCGTTGCGTATCACCCAAAGTGGGCGGGATCGGCTGGAGACCGCACCGGCTCGACGCAGCTCACTTCATGGGCAGCCTGCTTTGGCCGGTTGAGCCTCTCTACCAACTTGTCGTTGGAAGCGGATCGCTACCGATATAGTAGTCTCAGGATTTAAGACGGCCGAAAGCGAGCTTCGCATTTTCGAGAATGTTGAACAGTGGCAGCCCGCAAGCTAGCGGCCTGCTTGTAGACATCTTCTTTGTTCAACTTAGCGTCCAACTTGGAATCAAAAAATACCGGCAGCCGCCAAGGCACGATATCCACAAGCTCCGGCACCACCAGCTTCAACCAAAGTCCAGCCATGAAGGCTTAGTGCCAGCGTTGCACTGGTTAGCCATTGCAGCTGCCTCGCCCTCACGTTCAAGAGGTGGGACTGACAATGGGGCAACATACCATCGGGCAGCAAGTCGTACACAAAGGACGTGTCTTTGCTTGGACGGGAAGCTTTAATTTACCAGCTTAGCCCAAAACCTGGACTTGATTACTGTAAGCCAGTGGAGTCCAGGAAGGCCACCAAATCGTCTGCAGCCCAAAAACGCGGAGCATCAGCATGCCAATAAAAGGGTTGCAATTTGCAGTTAAATCAGGAGGGCGAAAAAACAAGGTCTTTTCCACCACCCAACCGATGCATCAATCCGGTCTTGTAGTTTGAATTCTCAAGCTCTTCGCGAGCTTGTTGCAGGCGCTCATAATCAGAGCTACCGGGGGCCCTGGGAAACCAAAACGGATGCAAAGAATCGTCGATAACTTTGCGCTTTGCCAACGGGGAGACAAACAAAGGAGAAGTGCCTGATTTAGCAAGCAAACCATTAACAACGGCAGTATTGCCAGGGACGTCAGAAGTCAGCGCAAACTGCGTCACTCTTGTTTGTCTCGACCCGCCAGTTGGCGAAGTGCCTGGCAGACTTTGACGCGGGCCAGATCTGTTTCAAAAGGGAGCCTGCATAATGGCTAGTCAACTTGTCCGCGGTGTATTTCGCAAGAACTGTGGGGCAAACGGTCTGGACACCACTATACCACTCTTTGTTGGCAACACCGCCCCTTCTGCCTTTTGGACAATCGGATTGCGAGGAGCCTCAGCCGTGCCCAAACGCAAAAAGTTCACAGTGTGCGTGACACTGCGCTCCTTCAGCACAAAGCTTAACCACTGAGTGCGGGTAGAAAGGCCTTGCTTGTCAGGAGGTTGCCACGTGACAACGGCAGGGGACCGATCCCCAACAACAATGCTGAGGGAAGAGCCCAACTGGCAATTGCAAGCGGCTTTAGCTTGAGAAGGCCAAATCTGCTTAAACAAAGAATCCGCAAACTCAGGGGTGAGCTGTTCACCTGCGTACTTGCAAAAAGCAATACGGCGCATTGTTTCCGCGTCGGTTTTCTGAGGTGCCTTGGCAGCTGTCTGCAGGCCAGGGTTGCGCTGTGTTTGGCCGCAGCCCAGCTTCAGGAGCTTCACAGTACGCATGGAAAAGTTCACCTTTGACAAGACTGAACCATATTGAGAAATCACCGTGAGAACTGCCTTCACTGGGGAACCCAAGCAACCGCCGAATGAGGTGTGTCACCAACCACGCAAAGCAAGCCCGCTCAAATAATGACGCAACCAACACTGCATGGCATCTTCAGCTTCAGGCTCAATCATAACGCTGGCACAGGCATTGGCGCGGACACTCACCACGACAAAGCTTTGCCAGGGCCGCATGAGATTTGAGCAAAACAGTCTCCCTTCTCAACTGGAAATCCTG